TATTTCCAAATTGCGAGTAATAAAGTCAGAATTGCGAGATATAAACATCGCAATTCTCAGAAAAAAAGTCTAAATTTCGAGTTTATTTCTTGCAATTGCGAATTGTGAGATATAAAGTTCGCAATTACTTTTATATTTTTTATTCTGTGGCGGAAACAAGCTTCCATATGATTCTGTGTGAAAACACATCAACACCTTTATTCCAACAAACAGTGTTTGTTTCTTAATAAGTTCCATGCGATGTTGCACTGCAAAAAATATGTTTGTTTTTTTGCTTAGTATTTTTATCTTGTTATCTCAACATTCATAAATCAGGATACATTTACTGGAGAAGCAGAATGACTGAAGATATTAAGTTAAAAATGTGTCATAATGAAGTGAGTTTGTGCTTAAAACGAGAACAAATAATCAAATTATCTTGTTTTCCCTTTGAATTAAGATTATTTTTGGACTCCATTGGTAGATATTTGTTCCTGTTTTAAGCACAAACTCACTTCATAATGATACATTTTTCATAAAACCAGACTTAATATCTTCAGTCATTTTGTTTCTCCAGTAAATGTATCTTGATTTATAAATGTTTAGATGTTTGTGCTGGAAAACAAGACAGAAACACGAAAGAAGAAATTGTCTTTTTGTGCAGTGTGTAAATAATCAGAGAACTAAAAATATTCCATCTTTAACCACATGGTGGTGCTATTGAGCTCTAATAAAACTATAATATTCTATTACTGTAATAATATATCGTTTGTTATAGAAAGGATAAAGGATTTGATGTACTGTAATTGAAGTAACTGCATGATATTCCAACTAATTGCTGTAATTAATCACAATTAACTTCATATTTCAATATATGCTGAGAAAAGTCCCTAAATGAATATTATTTAAATACATTGTTTTTTTGCAAATTAGAACAAAATTGCTTCTGTCTTAAAGTCGCCATGAAATCAAAATGGACACTTTTAAAAAAAAATTATATTGCAGTGTTTATTATAGTAATTTATCAGTGCAGCTCATTAATTGTTTCAAATTAATCTGTTAATCTTTAATCAGAATAACTTCCCCTCCCTCTTCATCTCTTCTCTGATGACGTGTTTACTGGCGTTAGTTTTTCTCCTCTATTGTGTCGTATATCGAGTGAAACGCTTCTGGAACAAGAACACATGTGGGCGGGGCTTGACTGTGTCTGTGTGGAGTTGATTGGATGGCTATTGGCTGATCTCATGTGAGTGACAGGTTATAGCCCCGCCCACATCATCAGAGAAGAGATGCTGCAAGAGGAACTGATTCTGATTCAACATTATTAACACAATAATGATGTCACATTTCCCAGGGATCCACTCACCTGTCCGTCGACCAGCATCAGACCCAGACCACACGCTGATCTCTGCAGCTCCAGCACAAACACATCTTCCTCTCCATTCTCACACTCTTCACTCGCATCTACACACACACACACACACATTTTTTTGTGTTTCAAACATTCTGCACGTTTATGGATATACAGTCAAACCAGAATTTATTCAGACACTTTCAACATTCTCGCAGTTTATTCGCTATAGTTTAGAAAATGGTGATAAATATGAGCAGAACTCAGAGTTCTCAGATCAGTGGATATTTGACTGGTTGTGTGTGAGTGTGTGTGTGTGAGAGTGAGTGTGAGAGTGAGTGAGTGAGTGAGTGTGTGTGTGTGTGTGTGTGTGTGTGTTTGTGTGTGTGTGTGTGTGTGTGTGTGTTTGTGTGTGTGTGTGTGTGTGTGTGTGTGTGAGTGTGTTTGTGTTTGTGTGTGTGTTTGTGTGTGTGTGAGTGTGTGTGTGTGTGTGAGAGAGTGGCCTGGTAAACCCTACGTTATGGGGACAAAATGTCCCCACAAGGATGGCAATATCCGAAATCCTTGTTCGTGTGGGGACATTTTTTGGTCCCCATGAGGAAATCAGCTTATAAATCATACTAAGTGATGTTGTTTGAAAATGTAAAAATGCAGAATGTTTCCTGTGATGGGCAGGTTTAGGGATAGGGTTAGTGTAAGGGAATAGAATATACAGTCTGTACAGTATAAAAATCATTATGTCTATGGAAAGTCCCCATAAAACATGAAAACACAACAGGTGTGTGTGTGTGTGTGTGTGTGTGTGTGTGTGTGTGTGTGTGTGTGTGTGTGTGTGAGTGTGTGTGTGTGTGTGTGTGTGTGTGTGTGTGTGTGTGTGTGAGTGTGTGTGTGTGTGTGTGTGTGTGTGTGTGTGTGTGTGTGTGTGTGTGTGTGTGTGTGTGTGTGTGTGTGTGTGTGTGTGAGTGTGTGTGTGTGTGTGTGTGTGTGTGTGTGTGTGTGTGTGTGTGTGTGTGTGTGTGTGTGTGTGTGTGTGTGTGTGTGAGAGTGTGTGTGTGAGTGTGTGTGTGTGTGTGTGTGTGTGTGTGTGTGTGTGTGTGTGAGTGTGTGTGTGTGTGTGTGTGTGTGTGTGTGTGTGTGTGTGTGTGTGTGTGTGTGAGTGTGTGTGTGTGTGTGTGTGTGTGAGTGTGTGTGTGTGTGTGTGTGTGTGTGTGTGTGAGAGTGTGTGTGTGAGTGTGTGTGTGTGTGTGTGTGTGTGTGTGTGTGTGTGTGTGTGTGAGTGTGTGTGTGTGTGTGTGTGTGTGTGTGTGTGTGTGTGTGTGTGTGTGTGTGTGAGTGTGTGTGTGTGTGTGTGTGTGTGTGTGTGTGTGTGTGTGTGTGTGTGTGTGTGTGTGTGTGTGTGTGTGTGTGTGTGTGTGTGTGTGTGTGTGTGTGTGTGTGTGTGTGTGTGTGTGTGTTCACCTCCCTCCCGCCCGCCGGCACCGCTGGATCCGGGCGTCTGAAGCTCCGGCTCGCTGAGCTCCGGGTCCGGTGTGTTCGGTGGAGTCAGTAAGCAGGACGGATCCGCTGATACACTGCTGCGGGTCACAGCGTTATCCTGAAGATCCAGATCCTGCAGCGTCGTGGTTAAAAGAGCTTCCCGTGATCCCGA